ACAACTATCTACTGGGGCTTTGGGGGGAAAAATACATAAATAAAATCTTTAAAAAAAAAAAAAAGACAATGCAAAAATTCAATGAGCCTTAGAGTTGGTTTTTGAAAAGATAAACAAAATTGACAAATCTTTAGCTAAACTCACCAAAAAAGGGGAGAGAGGATTCAAATAAGTAAAATCAGAAACGAAAGAGGAGATATTACAACTGATACCATAGTAATACAGAGGATCATAAGAGACTACTGTAAACAATTATACACCAACAAATTGGAAAACCTAGGAAAAATGGATAAATTCCTAGAAGATACAACCTACCAAGACTTAATCATGAATGTAGAAATAGGAAATATGAACACACCAATTACTAGGAAGGAGATTGAATCAGTAATAAAAAATCTCCCATGGGGCCAGCCCAGTGGCATAGTGGTTAAGTTTGCGTGCTCCGCTTTGGTGACTTGGGGTTAACAGGTTCAGATCCTGGGCACGGACCTACACACTGCTCATCAAGCCATGCTGTGGCAGTTTCCCACATACAAAATGGAGGAAGATTGGCACAGATGTTAGCTCAGGGCCAATCTTCCTTACCAAAAAGAAAAAAAATAACAAAACTTCCCAACAAAGAAAAGTCCCGGACTGGACAGATTCTACCAAACATTTAAAGGTGAATTCTACCAAAATGAATTCTACCAAACATTTAGAAAAGAATTTAATACACATCGTTCTCAAATTCTTCCAAAAAATAGAAGATGAAGGAACACTTTCAAACACATTTTATGAGGCCAGTATTACTGTACCAAAACAAGACAAGGACACTACAAGAAAAAAAAATGAATTACATGCCAATATCCCTGATAAACATAGACACAAAAATCCTCACCAAAATATTGGCAAACTGAATTCAACAATATATTACAAGAATCATATATACCATGATTAAGTAGGATTTATTCCAGAGATGTATGGATGGTTGAATATTTGCAAATCAATGAATGTGATACACCACATTAACAAGATGAAGAATAAAAATCATTTGGTCATCTCAATTTGACAAAAGCCTTTGACAACATACAACACCTATGTATGATAAACACTCTCAACAAAGTGGGTACAAAGGGAACATTCCTCAACATAATAAAGGCCGTATATGACAGGTCCACAGCTAACATTATACTCAATGTTAAAAAGCTGAAAGCTTTTCCTCTAAGATACATAACAAGACAAGAACGCCCACCCTCACCACTTTTATTCAACATAGTATTGGAAGTCCTACCCAGAGCAATTAGGTAAAATAATAAAATAAAATAAAAGGCGTCTAAATCAGAAAAGAAGTAAAACTGTCATTATTTGCAGATGACATGAAATTATATATAGAAAACCCTAATGATTTTGCCAAAAAGCTGTTAAACTAATAAAGAAATTCAGTAAAGTTTCAGGATACACAATCATTATACAAAAATCTTTTGGAATTATATAAACTAATAAGAAAATAGCAGAAAGAGAAATTCAGAAAAGAATTTCATTGGTAAGTGAGGTCAGCATCATGGCTGAGTGAGCTTCCCCCATTGAACTCTCCCCCTATAAGACACAACAAAAAGGACATTCATATTCCAACAGAAGCTATGCACACAACACAGGGGATGTCTGAGGCACTCAGGCAGCCATACACTCGAGGACTGAGGTGCTGGAATCTCCAGAGTAATTGGAAGGAGGTAAGAGGAGCTCCCTTCCTTCCCCAAGGACTGCGACCCAGAGACTGAGACCACATGGCTCTCAGAGGAGGGGGAGATGTGGCTCGCCATGTGAAAAACGGCACTCTCCAAGACGCCTCACAGCCCAAGAGGATCCCCATACGGAGGGAGCAGAACTGTTACAAGGGTATTTTCAACAAGCTAGCACCTCAGGAGAGCAGAGAGCAACAGCAAGGCGAGAAACCTCTGAGATTCGGGAGGAAAATGTAAGCATCCCTCCCCCACCTGGCTCACCTGACTGGCGCTTCAGCACAGCAGCACTTCAGCTCAGCCCCATCCCCAGAGGCAGCGGGCCACAGGTGCCCAGCCCGACCAGCAGTGGGGTGAGCCTGCAACCTTGCACCAGAGGCAGCCGCAGCTTAGTCCCCACCACGCCACAGCCCCAGCTGCTCCAGCTGGACAAAGCCACGGCCCCAGATTCCTCGGCTTCCCTGTGTCATGGTCCCAGCTCTTTCGGCTGGAACATGACCTGCCACCAGCTCCTTCGGTTTGACTGGACCCCCGGCTCCAGCTGCTTCGGCTTGACCTGTGTGCATGGTCCAGCTGACTTGGTGCCAGCAACTTCAGCCCACTGCACTCCTTTGGCCCAGCAGCACTCCAGTTCCTCCTTCCTTGGCCCAGCACACTCCAGTTCCAGCTTCTTTGGCTCAGTGCACTCCAGTTTCAGTTTCTTTGGCCCAGCACACTCCAGTTCCAACTTCTTTGGCCCAGCGCACTCCAGTTCCAGCTTCTTCAGCCCAGAGGAGCTCCAGCTCCTGCTTCTTTGGCCCAGTGCACTCCAATTCCAGCTTCTTTGGCCCAACGGCACTTCAGCTGCTTCAACCCAGCTGCACCTGAGCCCTAGCTGCTTCAGCCTATCTGTGCTCTAGCTCCAGCTGTTTTCATGCTTCCCCCCCCAGCAGCCTCTACTCAGCCACACTGCAGATAAGCCAGGGGCCAACAAGAGTGCCCACAGATTGAGGCAGGCCAGAATGCAGAGCCCTTGACCCCACCCAGTGGCAGCAGGAGGAAACTGTCATTTTCACTATGAGGAAAGGTAAGCTAACACGAACAGGCGCCATGCAAAAATATATTAAATCTCCAGACCAAAAGGAAAATGACAAGCACCCAGAAGTCAACCTGGAAAGCACAGAAATGTATAACCTTAACAAGAGAGAATTCAAAATAGCCATCATAAAAAAGCTTAATGAAATACAAAAAAACACACACAGACAATTCAGTGAAATCAGGAGTTTCTTCACAAAAGAGATTGAAACTATAAAAAAAAAGCCAATCAGAAATCTTAGAGATGAAAAACACAATAGAGGAAATAAAAACAAATCTGGAAGCCTTAAGAACCAGAGCTGACAATATGGGAGAAAGAATTAGCAATATTGAGGACAGCAATGTAGAAATGCTCCAGATGGAGGAGGAAAAAGAACTAAGACTAAAAAGAAGTGAAGAAACCCTCCGAGAAATATCTGACTCAATGAGGAAATCCAACATAAGGATTATATGTATTCCAGAGGGAGAAGAGAGGGAAAAAGGAGCAGAGAACTTGTTCAAAGAAATAATAGCTGAGAACTTCCCAAACCTTGGGAAGGAGCTGGAAATACCCGTGAATGAAATCAATAGATCTCCTAAATATATCAACACGAAAAGACCCTCTCCAAGGCATATAGTA